CAGCAATACTCGATGCTAATGCACACAGTGCGCATCCGCGAACGATAAATATTGCGAAATGGATTACTCTCCGGGTAGAGTAACAGCGTTTGACGATGTTTGAATGTGTTTGATCGGGCGTTACGTTACGTTTGACAGCGTTTGACAGTGTTTGGCGACGTTTGACGATGCCTGAGTTATTCATCACGTATCGAGTCGGCGTGACTGGCGATATAAATGCTCGTTGACCGTAGGGAACGAGCAATTATCGCTTGGGACGCCAATGCGAGCGATGGCGTCCCTCGTAACGCAATGATACGATAACTTTTCGTTTTGTGCGGCATTTATAAAGAACCCCGATCGATACAGTGCTTATTCAATGGTGTAATTCAACGTGTAATTCCTTTCGATCAATATAGGACATGGGGAATGATTTTTCATGATTTTAATATTGAAACAATTTTTTTCGTATTTGTTTATTTATTAAGTTAAAATTTATTATATTTGTAAAAATTGAAAACTTATTATTCTTAGAAATTTTTATTGAAATAGACTTATAGATAGTGAGATAATCATGTGCTTGAAATTATGTTAAAATATAATATTGATATATTGATATTAAAATTAATTAATGATATAATATTGGTATATTAATATTGAAATAATATTAATAATCATTATTGTTTATGTTGGAATATTTTTTATTTTAGTATGAAAGTAAGAAGAATTAGAATTATTAATAACGGTGTTAATAAGAAGATAAGTTTAATAAAAATGTAGTATTTCTTATGCATTTTATTTTCAAGAAACTTTAAGAAAATAAATTTTTTAATCAATTAGTCTACATTGAATTATGCTCTATTGTTGTTTAAAAGTAAGAATGCTTGCGACGTTATATTTCTCGATTTTTACGACACTTTAATCGGTTCGTAGCTTTTAGGGTACGTTCTGTTTAGTTTCAACGATTTTCTCATTTATACAATTACATACATGTGTGTAATGCCAAGTTCGTGCTAATGTAACGAAGAAAATAACAATTCCTGCTCCGATAATAGAACGCTCTTAGCAAATAAACACTGAAAAAGAATTAAGAAAATTGAGAGCAATAAAAGTATAATTTCATTAACGAAAATTAAAAACGATATAGGAAAATTGAGATTATAATATGTGTACACGTATATATACACAAATTTATTTCCTTTAAATAAGCAACAATATTTATTTAATTATATTACTGATAAGAATTTCATATAAATTTAATATAAATTAAATTTTAGTAAACAGGGTACCACAAAGTGTGTAAAATTTTACAGGAAATTATTGTGTATGTAAAAATAAGTAAAAAATGTAGAATAAATTTTTTTCATTGGAGGTGTTGTTTTTGAGAAAACAGGTTGAAAATTCGTGGGGAGTACGCGCTGTCTGCTAACTTCACGCTGTACGAATCCAATATGGCCGCCGACGAGGGCCATATTTCTAACTCGATTTTCTTCAGAACGAAGCTTCCTACGTAAAAATTTTATTTTACATTTTCAATTTGTTTTTATCTACAGAATAATTTCCTGCCAAATTCCACCATAATTATTAACATATTCGTTACAATTATACACAGTAAATTCTTATTCTACATATTTAAGACACTTAAGACAGTATGATACCTAATCAACAGACACGTTTTAAAAAATAATATTAAAAATTCTGAAGTATCCAAAATCCAGACAGAAATAAAATATTTCCGCACACCTTGCTCTCGAATTTTAAATAAAGCTTAAAAATTAAAAGGACAAAATACCTACCGATACATCAAAAGGTATCATAATCGATCAATTATTCTTTGCCCCTTGTAGTCTACTATTTTTCCATCAATTAATATAACTCAATCGTGCGTCCAATATCCGTGCGATTGATTCGCGTGTCGGCCAAAAAATGGCCACGAACGAGCTAATGCACTTCATCGTTCACGCGTCGATTAACGTATCAAGCAATATCCAAGCTGTAATCGCATCGTTATTTGACCGGCGGCGTATCAAATCTAAATTAGTACGCGCCTGTAGCTCGGTTTCATGGAAGTTAACGAACCGGGTAATTCGCTGGCATTACTATAATTCCGACAAATTTACGGGCAGAAATGTATCATTAATTCACATACCGACAGAGAGGTGGACGGTTCAACTTTCCGCTAGGTTTCTGCCGCCAGATGGCGAACCTTCGTTTATCGACGAAGCGACGTTTGCGAGTATCGTTGAATTTTTATCGAATGCCTTGGACCGTGATTGAAACGAACATGACGAGCGTACTGAAGTTGGCAAGTTTAATTGGCGCATGAAAAGTGTCCTCGCGAGCGCATACTTTCGGAAAGGATTAATGGATTCGACGTGGATTTTCATGCGAATTTTTTTTGAGGTTATGTGTGTCTTTCTTTGTACAACGTAATATTTGAATTTAAAAAAGGTAAGAATTAATGTCTTTTTGGTGGTGTTTTCAGTACTGATATACTGAAATATGAGTAGATTAATATATAGGGTACGAAATATGAGTAGATTAATATATAGGGTGTAAAATATGAGTAGGTTAATATATAGGGTGTGAAATATGAGTAGATTAATGTACAGGGCGTAAAATATGAGTAAATTAATATATACTAATATATAAGTATTAATATATAGGTAATATATTATATATTTCTGAAATTTTTGGAATTTTTCAAATTTTTGATACTTTGTAAGAATAAATTCATTATGTATTCATTTATGTTATGTGGTTTTCTGTTTCACTATTGTAAGATTTATTTGAAATTATATATTAAGATAGGGATATTTTCGAAATTCTTTTATTTTTTAAATTAATAACAAGTAAAGATGAAGATATTATAAATTTCACATATATTTTACGTAGTTTTCCTTTTCATATTAGATTTATTTGGAATGCAGAAATATTGTATACTCGAATAAAGATAGGTTAGAGTACCGAATGGACTATGTTATATGCATTTTGCATTTTTAAAATTAATTAGAGGTTAAGATAAATGTATTTCTTGCTAAATGTAAATACTTCTTTTATATATTATTAGATTTATTTGTAATGGCAGATTGAAATAAAAATAAATATATATACTGGGTGACCAATTTATATTATACATATTTTGCAATTTTGTAATTTATTAACAGATGAGAATAAATGTATTATACTTATTATATACGTATTATACCAAGATATAAATGAGTACTTTCTTAGAAAAAAATATTTCTATCCAATATTTGAAATGAAATCTTATTTATGTGGCATAGAAAATATTAGTACACCTGTTACATTTGCAATTTTTTTTTTGAAATAATTTTTCATTAATTTATTATTCGACGGTTGTGGAAAATTTTCCTATTTCCTCCTGAACCCTTTGAAATTAAATTATTTTTAATGCAAAAAGTAATAAAAAATTGCTTTCGGTTTTTTTCTTTCTTTTTTCTTTTTTTTTTTGAGGAATAGATAAGCTTCCAAATTAATCCAAAGTATCTTGATTCGAAAAAAAATGCGTAGGTGCTTAACAAGCCAGGCATACTTCACTGTCAATTTTCACTGTGCTGTTTTCAGTAGATTTCACGGAAGTAAATGTACGTGATGTGTCTTTGTCAGCCTTAAATAACGAGACGCACGAACATACGTTCCGTCGAGATAACGTGGTACTAATTTGTGCGTGAAATATGTTTGAATTACTTGATTCGAGGTCTTACGAAATTTTATAGAATTTTATTTCTGTTACTTTTTTAATGAGAAATTTGAATACGAACTTGTAAATATCTTAATCTTCGATTTTCAATTTTTCAATTTTGTTAATATCGATATTTTTAAAAAATATAGTTTATACGTTAATTTTCGTTTTCTTTTTTCTTTAGGTATTTTAATTATTAATTTATTAAGCAATTTTTAGAGTTGGAGTAGAACTTGAGTATATATTTTAATGGTTGAAAAGAATTGTGAAAATTAAAAGATGAAAATGGTAAATTGAAAGCACAGTGGTTCTTGAAATTCATGTAAAAATCCTGTTTTAAAGATGAAAAAGAAATTTAAACATGAAATGATAATAGTGGTGCCATCTGTCGGAAATAGACGTAAGTTTGTCGTTGTTGGCAATTCACTTTTTTACCAACTGTATGTGTATTTCCAACAAATATGTATTTTGTTATTATTCATCGATTATGTCTGATAAAGTACTCCATTTTCTACTGAAAATACAATGAATAAAAATAAGTAATTCATAAAATAATTCCTCTTTTACCCATAAATTGTATTAACATCTGTTAGAAGGACAAAAGTGTTCCTCAGTATTCTGCTAGATGACAGAGCATGTTCCATTTACCATTAATACCAGCATTTTCTGTTTAACCTGTACTTAAACCCCATAACTGATAAAACAGGTATTATAGAACATCCAACAAGCAATCTCCTAAAATAATAGACCTCTCACCTGTGATAATAAAAATTCAACTGTTGGTATAACAGTTTCCTGAAACCTGTAACTGCTCTAAGAAGTAAAATTTCTAACTTTCTGACTTAAGTCACTTTAACTATAACTTCCCTTACATCTAAAATAGCGCTAATTATATCGTGGAGTAAACACGAAGTATAAATCCCGATATAAAACTCCAAACTCTTGCTAAATCACTACTTAATAAGGGTATACAACAGCTATAATTTAAAAACTGTTTCATGCGTATCCAATTTCACGTAATTACCCTTTCAGTATACAAATCTACCTTTATATTCTACTTTTACTGAGAATAAATCCATCGAAACTACGAATTCATCTGTTACAACCTAACCTTCAAAACTCTCCTTTAAACATTTGATGGAGCGTTTTGGCTCGCGTACTCGCAATTAGTCACGAAATTTCGACACGAGATAGGGATAAAATCGACCAAGCGTGCCTTGGTAACGCACGGTACCGCGATTCGACTATTTCTGAAATTATACGACAGAGGCAGTTGGACGCGCGCGACAGACAGACGCGGGCCGCTGCACTGACAGCCGCGGGTAAAACTAACCTCTACAATTCGTGTGTAATTTGCGCGCGTATACTGCACGCCGATTACGTTTTATAATTAAATCCGGTACCTCTCGTTTTCGTGGACCGACGGCAATCTGGCTGCTGTCTGAAACACTGGACACGGCTGTAATTGGAATGTCCACATGAAGCTGCTGAAGTTTTTGCTTCGTTACTTTCCTCCAGGTATGCCAACCGAGTGACACAAGTTTCGATGAAATTAACGCTTACCCATGACACCTCGTAAACACTGCGTTCCCTTAACCTGTCTTTGCAGGTCTCGCCTTGGAGTATACACAGGGAGGAGATGTCAAGACGAAAATGATCGATCTTTTGGATCTGTCTGCCGAGTAATTAAATGTTTTAATATATTTCTGCTACTCGTAGCGACGTAAACTTTTCTTTCTTTTATTTTATTTCTTAGCTTGAATTTTTTTATGGAGCTTCAACGACGTTTTCTTGCGAGTACTAAGAGCACTTTCTGTTGTATTACATTTCCAACATTTTCTGAATGCTGTATGAAGATATTTAAGGCAGAATTTTTTGATTATTAATTTTTTTCTGCAACATGCAAATGTGTATACATATTTTAAAGATGGTGGCGTGTTACATTGAATATTAATTATACAAAGTATTACCAGTATCAATGCCATTTTTTTAACGGATAAAGTTCAAAAAATAATTAACAATATTTCTTGCAGAAATCTTATACTCTATAGTTAGTGCACTTATTATATGGTACATGGAACGAATTGAAAGTCTAGAATCCGGGATAAATGATACACAATATCGAAGAAACCAGTACCAGAAATATTTACTGCTTGCTGCTACTGAAAATACAGGGTGTCCAAAATTCACGTAGGAAGCAATTTCGATAGAAACAAACAAATTTCTCAACAATGAAGACGCGTTGTACTTTCGTGTAGCGCCCCATTTTTAATAACCCTGAACTATCAGCTGTCATGCTGTATTTTTTTCTTCGTTGGTAACACTTTAACCACAAAAATGGCGTAGTATTCAAATCTTGCGTGAATTTTGGTACACCCTTTAGATGCAGCAAAAAGAAAAATAAAATTAACAAAATTAATACAAATTTTACAGAAAAATATTTAAATATCTATTATACCATAAACTACTTTACTATATGTATACATAAATTATTGCACTATAAATATTCAATTAACACAGTAGAAGCAATATTCAGTTGAACAGATAACTAAAAAATTTTTAAATTTTTTTATATCATTATTAGATTTTTACAGAATCATTTTATATGATACTACACTAAGGGTATTAATTTCAAGCAGAGAGGAAATTAAGGGTAACAGAGGAAAAAAACGTTAGAGTCGCACGTCACAATTAAGCTTAAGCTTGGATTATTTAAAAAATCTCGTAGGTGTATAATTACTTGGCGGGAAGTAGACGAGAGTGTACGTGTCGTTTTGCAGAACGGACATAAGAGCATTAGCGGAGAGCATAAAAGCGACCGAGCCCGTAATAACCGAAAGTGTAATGGAGCAGTTAGTGGAGACCCTGCAGAAGCTGCAAGCCAAAGTTTGCGATACAAACGCGAAGCGCTACTACAAATACAAAACCTTGCAGACCCATCTTCTACCCCTTACGAATATCGCGTTCGATAAACTAGGTAAAAGGTACTCCCGATTAAGATTCTTCTAGCACAGTTCTAAATTTAATTCCATTCCATCGACACGTCGCTATTTTCAATTTTATAGGTTGCTTCGGAAATGGATTGCAATCTTTGCAATATTTCGTTTCTTTATTGAAATTTTAAAATGTAGATATAAATATTTTAATGATTATAAATTATTTATTAATGATTATAATGATATAATATAATTACAAATATAAATAAAATTATATTTTAATAATTATTAAAATTTAAATAATTGGTACAGGTGAAATTATTTAAATATTAATTGATAATTATTAAAATATGAAATTCTTTGTTTTAGAATATATAGTATTTTGAAATATTGTATATTAAAATGTAAAATATAAAATTTATATGTTAAATTACCAAATATGAAATTTTATATTTTAGAATAAAAAATATCAAAAGCTTGATACTTTTTAGAAATTTTTAATCATTTTTTGTTACATGAGTAGTGAGTGCTATTATTTTAATAATTATTAAAATTTAAGTAATTGGCACAGGTAAAATTATTTAAATATTAATTGATAATTATTAAACTATGAGATTCTTTGTTTTAGGATATGTAATATTTTGAAATATTGTACATTAAGATATAAAATATAAAATTTATATGTTAAATTACCAAATATGAAATTTTATATTTTAGAATAAAAAATATCAAATATTTGATGCCTTTTAGAAATTTTTAATAATTTTTTGGTACATGAGTAGTGAGTGCTATTAACAATATAATTGTATTATTATAATTGTGTAATACCGTATTAACGTCAACATAATGAACTATAATTATTAACGGATCAATAAAGAAATTTTATCTTCTTCATTAGCCTCACTATTTTTATGATATATTTTTCTTACTATTGATTTATTGGTTTAGACAACAGAAGTATTTAAAGAAGTGTGTCACTGAAATTTGAATACTTCAAGATAGTATAAATATATAATTCCTCTTATAATAATTAATATCGTGGTGAGCTAAAAAATTTGCATAAATAAAGGAAGAAAATTTATGGATTTTCTCATCTTTGAGTATTCATTGATTTTAGTTCAGTTATTGATTTGTATTGACATTTTCCACTAATATCATAGTGAGCTAAAAAATTTGCATAAATAAAGGAAGAAAATTTATGGATTCTCTCAGCCAGGAGAATTCATTGATTTTAGTTCAGAGAAAGAATGGTAATGATATTTCTTATGAAATTTCGTGGCAAAAGTACCTCCTTTGCTCTTGAAAGGGAAACATTTGTGCTTCTATGTTCACATTACCTATCCCATTCTTAGAATGAGTGGAATAAGCTACTAAACTTGGACCATCTATTTCAGAATTACTGTCTACATCCTCTGAGAAGTTTTTACAAAGAAACTAACTCCTTTATCATCAGAGATTGTAGAAATAAATCTTTTACAAAGTTTCTTGCAAATTAGTATCCAAAATTGCTTCTACCCTTCATTATGCGAATACAAAAACGTGTGAACCATAAAAGTTACCTTTGCCTCCTACTTATCAAGTTACGGATTTTCCATTTTTATTCTGCAGCTTGAAAGTTCACGAAGCTTCTTCAATCTTTTCTTATCAAATTTTCCAATTTACTGGTATTTTTAAACTATAGTATATATAACTGAAGAAGGACTTATCAAGTACTCAATAATTGACTCAAGTCTATAACGAATCTTAATATAGCAATAGTTGTATAAAAATATGTGCTACTAGTAGTAAGAAAAAATAGTATAAATAGTAGTATAAAGAATACTTAGGGAAAAATACCTGTCCAATAATTATATACTAAATTATTTATGAAACAATTTATCTATTTATTTTATTATTAGTTAATATAGTCATTTATTATTTATTATAGTTATTTTATCTTAATATAGCAATAGTAGTATAAAAGTATGTGCTATTAGTAGTGTAAAAATAGTAGCATAAAAGAAATACTTAAGGAAAAATACCTATCCAGTAATCATATATTAAATTATTTATGAAATAATTTATCTATTTATTTTATTACGAGTTATTATAGTCATTTATTATTTATTCTAGTATTATATATCTAATCTTCATTTATCCAATTTTCCAATTTATTTGTATTTTTAAACTATGGTATATATAACTGAAGAAGGACTTATCAATTGACTCAAGTCTCTAACGAATTTTAATATAGCAATAGTAATATAAAAAAGTAGTATAAATAGTAGTAAAAGAAAAAATACTTAAGGGAAAATACCTGCCCAATAATCATATATTTTTGTAAATTTTCGTCTTCCAAAATTAGGAAAGTCCTGCACAACGATCATTCACCCCACGCAAAACCCTGCCTCGTGGTTTACACCGCCGTTTAAAGTTTCCCTGTACACACAACTCGTATATTCCCTGGTAACCGTTAACATCCTAATAATTCGAACAAAGCTCCGAGCATCTCGCCCCTCGTTCCATTCGGCCATTAATAAATCAGCGAACATTCGTAGACAACGTTATGCTCGGCGTTAACGAATATATCCTACTCGTTTCTCCTGCAGCCTCGCCGTTACGATTTAATTTGAATTTCTCTGCGGCGAACCGATTGCGCCGGGGTCGAGGTGGTATCGGGCCGGTGTCTCGGGCGAAGGCGTTTTTCCTCTGGCTCCTCGTGAATATTCAAACTCTCGCTAATAAATTAATCCGACCGAGTGGCTCCTCGTTTCCCGGACGAGATGATAATAAATTGGACCCGTTTATTTTCATCCGCAGCAGAAGACCGTGCGGAGAAATTGCCCTGATACACGTCATCCCGGAAAGGGGTAACGATCATCCGCGACCAGAACCTCGGACTTCCGTGTTTCAGGCACGCGACAGCTAAACGAACGACATTGTTTTTGCACCCGACTGTTTCGGCTATAAAACGAAAACTATAAATCCCGTAATTCCCAAACTTCGTAATTTCCTTAAGACCTTCCTCAATTTTGCATATTTAACCCTTTGCACTCGAGAGGTGACTCTCGGTCACCATTTAATCAGATTCTAAATATCGACGTTAATTAATATTGTTATCCAATATTATTATTGGAAGAAAAATTAATTTCATAGGCGAGGGATTAGATGAAATCTAAAAAAGAAACATTTTTGTTATTTTGAAAATGGAACAATGGAAAAATGCAAATGAATTATAATCTAAATTCTAAATTCTATTCTATATTACAATATTTTTATATTTCTATAATATTCTATATTCTATATTATAGTAATTCTATTCTAAATTATAATTCTGTCAATTCCAAATTATATTTCTAAATTATAATCTTTCTAACAATTTTCCTTTTAAAGAGAAAAATAATAAAAGAAAGTAAACAATTGTTTATTACATTTTGGAGAAAGGTGCATATTCTATAGCAAGATATGAGGAAAAATATAATACTTTTAATGTGATGAATATAATATGTGCTTTTTAGAGACAAAATTGTAACGGTTCCTTCGATAAAACTGTCAAAATTTGGTGTTCACGAACGGGATATTGCTTGGTAACTATGTGGGGCCACAATGCTGAGATAGTTGTTGCGAAATTCTCACCTAGCTATACTAAAATCACGACTGTTTCCGTGAACACGACGTCGAGAGTTTTTGATTTATCAACAGGTAAATCCCCAGCTTCCAGACTCAGAAATATAATTTAAATTTAATTCCACGTTTCGAATATAAATATTTCATGCAACCCCTTGCATAGAAATCTAAATAATTAATAATTAACTTAGTGTTATAACATAGTAATTAATAATAAATTAAATGTGAAATACAGACATTAGGATTGCTGTTTTTGGATATTTGAAATTTTTTATTGGATGAAAAATTGATTTCATAGGCGAGGGATTAGGGTTGTTGAAAGGACATACCGCAGAAATAATTGCTCTGCATTACAATAACGATGGGAGTCAAATAATAACGGCCTCCTTCGATGGCACTGTCAGTATTTGGGACACGAGAACTTTTAGGTAAGCTCTGAATTTTGGTTTCAGAAACTTTTTCGAAACTTATTATAACGACCACTTTAATATCATAAATTAGGGTAATAGGAATATATATACAGGATGGATTATAGAATTTTTTATTTAGATTTTATTTCTTCCTCATAAAGCATGAAAGTAGAAAGTGGGGGTGGCCATGTTAGACGCTATCATGAGCCTAATTCTCTGAAACTTCGATGAATATTTGATTGAATAATTTTCCTAGTTTTATTTTAACTTGATTTTGAGAAACAAAAATATTGATGACCCACCTTGTATAACTACAAACTTAATGATAACACTGTTTAACACGAATGTTAAATTCTAATATCAATCGGGAAAGTCTTGTAGAGTTTATTTTCCTGAACACGAATCCGTGATCGAAATTGCTCCATCACCCTCACTTTTCGAAAATTGAGTGTTTTACTAAGAACGCTCAATTTTTGGTTAAAATGAAGTATTATATATAAAGTGAGAAGAAAAGAGAAGAAAAATAATTAAAACCTGCAAGAAGATAAGTAACTAAAACCTGGAAGAAGATAAGTAATTAAAGCCTGGAAGAAGACAAATAATTAAAACCTGGAAGAAGACAAATAGTTAAAACCTGAAAAAGAAAAAATAATTAGAAGCTGAAGAAATATAATTAACACCTGAAGAAAAAATTGTTATTTAATTATTTGTAGAAGTGGAGTATGAATGAAGTGGACAGTGGCTATCGTCTAGCCCACAGTCTAACCCCATCCACCCAACCATCCATAACAAAGAAAACTTTGATATGACACTTCCAAAGCCAGTCCGACAATTAACTCGATCATCGGTTGCGTCGTCCTTTATATAGTCTCCTATCAGCCGAAGATCGACGGAAATTTCCGGAATTTACCGATTCCGTTAATTATTAATTTCCCGCTCCAATATTCAATAATTTATTAATTTTTTCACTTCTATTATAAATTTACGTTGTGAAAAATTTGTTATTAACAATATTAATTTGTTATTAACAATCAGTGTAATTATTTATAAACTTTTTGTAACTTATAGATACATTTTAACATAAGTACATTACAAGTTCCAGTAATAATCAGTAATTTATTAATTTTCTCACTTTTATTATAGATTCTCACTTTTATTATAGGTTCTGAACAATTTATTATTAACAATCCGTGTAATAATTCATAAACCTTTTGTAAGTTATAGATACATTTTAACATAAGTATATTATAATTTAAATTATAATTTATATTAATTAATTTACTTGTAATTTATAATTTAAACTAATAATCAGTAATTTATTAATTTCTTCACTTTTATTATAAATTTACGCTGTGAACAATTTGTCATTAACAA